TTGTTTTACTCTTAGGGTCATTTGTTTCTTGAAAAATAATCATTCTAAATAATCGCTTGTATCTCTAACAAAAACGACGAACGGAATTTTTTTCATTGTTTACGAAAATGTTTAGACATAAATGATTGTCGAAAATATTTTCTGGATCACTTATTTTTCACAAAACAAATGAATCCTTAATTAAGATGGACCTTTGTAACTTCATAAAATTATTCTACTTCTTTTCATATTTAATTACGACGCCGTTCTGCAATGTCACAAGATCGGTGTACCGTGAAAATGCCATTCTTCGATAATAAGTTCTGTACCATTCTTCGATAATAAGTTCTGTACCCGTGACGTGACATGTTGTTGTCACCGATTTATCGTGAACAACTTTGAAATCCGGACTATAACCTATTTGCTTTTGTGTCTAAGTTGAAAGATACTAGGGTTACAAAAGTCGATTTATAAAGTTGATTCATGTGACGTGTGGGATTATTATTATTGGTTCTTAAGCATGGCCCACTTGTCGAATTTAGTAAGTCGAGCATTGCTCTTTGAAGTATATTTAAAAACTAATCTCAAATCCTTCACGGTCGTCCAAAAAAAAAAAGTGAGTCTTGTCCCGTAATTGCATAAATTTTAAGTTTTTGTGTGTTACGAAAATTTTGAATATAAGAATTACGAAAAAGAAAACATGAAGAGTTGCAAGTGGCGATTGATTGAGGATCGTAAAATTACCATGTATTCATGAGCTTATAAGGTGTTTTATGGGTTTCTAAGTAACCGAACATTTATGTTTGTGCCCTCAGAATATGAAAGGAGTACATGGAACTTACACAACACCATATTGCCCATTGCTCGAAAAATAATTAATAAATAACTCATCAAAGAAACTTTAAAAATTTCAATGCGCTTGTATCTTCCTTGCACATAGTGCACTAAATTCTTTCAAAAACATTATTTTTAGTATTTAAGGGTACTTAATAATTGTTTCAGATGCATTGGTCATTGATGACTCGTTACATGTATCAACCTAATAAACTAAGTGTGCTTACTACCAAATTACTTTTAAAAAGATTGAAAGAGATAACCGAGATATAACTCCTATGCTCGCACTCATAAATGAGTCGACATGATGACATGAACACATTAGACTAAACGAGCTTTAGATAAGCGGCGTGCGAATCGACCGTGTCGCAAATTGTCAGCCCTAGCTGTTGGCATGCCCTGGACACGACAAGGGCAATCTTGGTATCAAAAACCTTCGCCATGTCTCGACCCCTCTCTCCACTCACATGCGTGGAGCTCAAAACCTTTTTGCTAATCACACATAGGTACATTCGAGCTAGCTAACACCCCTAGTCCATGCGGGTCTATAGCTTCGTCAATAGAACGGCCGGCTCTTTAACCTATATGATTAGAGACTAGATTAACGGGGTGTCAAAAAGTTACTCAATTAGGCACACGCATGTCGCTCTCAATTTCCTAAATAGTGTAAGTAAAGCTTTAAGAAGCTTTTTAATTGCGCTATTGGACACTTTAACCGTCCGAGGTAATTTTGGGGAGGAGGGTCCGAGCCATCGAATCACCAATTGATGTGCGTCCTTGTCAATTGGGCAAAATTTTGTCTCTTTGCATTATTACGTGTATGGGAGTGAATCTAGGGAGATGTGGTTCCATCCATCTTCCCCCTTTTGCTTTCAGCCTCAAGTCACTTCTGCCTTTTAAGCAATGGGAAAAAAGATGTCGTAAGCACTCTCTCTCTCTCTCACCCAATGCACCATAAAAAATGTTGGGAAAATTTGACCGTTGACGAAGATAGAGCAGTGATTTAAAATTTTCTGATATTTTGCTGCGCAATAATGACCACTGTCTTTAAGGTATTATTTGCCCCCAATATTATTGCTGCTGGATTTAGAACAAATATACTTCCATGATATACATCAAAATTATAGAAAAACGAGTTCAGCAATTACTCGATTTTTCTCTTTGAATTTCACCTTTAAGTGTTATCAAACTTGTGTGTAAAGAGAGAAGAAAAGAGAATTTTTGTACCCACCTGCGCATGACCGAGTTGATGGGCGCTTTCCTTCCCTCCTTAGAGGTTCCGGGTTCGAATCCCCGCTCGGTTCTGTAATTTAAGTGGGAGGCCCTGGCGGTGGGTTGCTGGGCTAGTCTCCCCCGAGGTATAGTCGCCCTGATTACCTGTGCGGGCTCATTCCCGAGAAATGGTGGCAGATCCTCGGTTACCAAAAAAAAAAAAGGAGAATTTTTGTGAAGAAGAGAGAGTTGTTGTTAATGAAAAGTTCTGATGACAATGTATGATTTGATCCCATTGACAGACAAACAATTAACACATCTCTAGGGAATAAGTACTGTATTCCCACCATCACTACTTTCATGATCAACTATAATCTCTTTTCATGATGACCATCACTTCTTTTCATGTCATTAATCACTTTTTTTTCATATCCAACAATCACCTCTTTTCATACTAACAAACTATTTTGACAAAAAATATAATTAGCCAAGGTCATTAAGGCCAATATGAGATCCTAACAATGTCCTAGAATACTCAATTTTCTCTTAACCTATTTATGTTAGGCTCTTTAACTGTTGTTGTAGCTCACCGCATGTATTCCATACCCTCTTATCCATATCTAAATACTGACTACGGTACACAATTGTCATTATTCACACTTAGCATGTGGATTGGCGGATTTCTCATAATTGGGTTTAATTTCCCCAAAAAACCCCTAACTGTAAGTCAAATCCCAATTTTGCTCCGAACTTTTTTTGTCTAAAAAAACTCAAACTTTCACTCTAATCCCAAGTGGGTATGCAGCTATTTTATGGTAAATGATTATGATCCAATTACTCGATACACGGATCTATTAGATCGTACTCTTAGGCATCACGATACAATCATATCACATTTCAAGTGGGTATGTATGTATGAGATCCGAACAAATATATGTTAAGGAGACACTGAATAAATATATGTTAGTGTCTCCTTGATCCCGAGTCGCTTTTTTTTTCTCTCTTTTCCTTTTGATCCCTTAGTGTGTCTATATAAACACACACATACATATTAGAAGTGCATTTTGAGTATATTTGTTATAGTGTTTATGACATTTCTTACGTCAGCTTAACTATCATATCATGCTACAAGGTTCAAAGAGAGGTGTAAGAAAGTTCAAAGAGCACCTCCAAAAAGTGTGGATTAGTGTATGACCAAAAAGAAGTGTGGATTGGTGCATAGTCCCTAGCTAAAAGCTCTCTTAAAATAGCTTATTTTTGGTGATGTAGCATCGCCAAACCGAAATGTGTGCCGCGTTTTGTTTCTGTTTAAGCATTTTTCACTCCATTCTTTATGAAAAAAAAGAAGAAAAAAAGTATTTCCCATGCCATTGACCCTTGACAAAGCTGAGGAGGCAAAGTCTGGAAAGATAGTGGCTTGTTGGAAATGATAGAGGTTCTCCACTGGCACCGTGACACATGGACATAGTAAATTACTTAATATAGTGTGCAATTAATTATACTTAAATTGGATTTGGCATCAATCTCAACTTGTTTCCATTTAAGGTAAGATTCCCACGAATTATTGTTGTTATATTCTATGCGTCCACTCCCAAATCCCTTCGTCTCTTTTTGTCTTTTGTAGGCCCTGAAGAATCATTGGTGGTTTAAGGAAAATAAATTGCAAAACTGGGGAGGGAAAAAAAGAAAGAAAGACAAAAGCAAGCTGGAGACATCATGTTTGGTGAGAATCAAACTTAGGATAATTTTCTTAAGGAAAAAAAAAATACAAAGCAAGCATGATTTCCCTAGATATTATGATATCACGAAAAAAATGAGCGGGATCGACTGAATGGAGAAATCATGAGATTTCCATATCATGAGTCGAAATTGTATTAAGTGGAGTCGAGTGAACCCGTGAAGTTCGACATCAAATGTGGAACAGGGGCAAGCATAATCCATAATCTTCTGGAAAGGGTTAGTAGAAGAAACTCAGCTCAAATCTCAATCAAATTTGGCAACTCTTTACTACCCTTTTCTTTTGGCTATGCACGAAAATAGTCCTTATGCTTTCGACACTCGACATTGAGAATACACCAATGAGAACTATCGCTCGATTGGGTATGATAAAGGGAACAGAATACGTCACTTGTTGCGAATAGCACGGAATGTATGGATTTAATTGGTTCGGTGGATCGGATTGCAACACGTTTTGATCTTTTGAATCACTTTTTGTTATGAAACTACGTAGACGTAAATTATTTTGGCTACAACTAGTCAAATTAGTAATAGAACTCCCGTTCAAAGTTATTTTCCTATATTTCACGAGCCTAAATTAGATTAGAAGTGTAAGTTTTGTATATGAAGTTTCAAGTTGATATCTTCAAGTTGCATATACCTAGAAGGTTTTGTTGATATCTTCAAGTTGATATCTTCAAGTTGATATCTTCAAATTAGTACGAAGGTTTTGGGCGAAAGTTATCTTCCTTTTTTGCTAGATGACCAAGACACCACAATTCGGCGCATTTGCCGAGGACCGAACCCAAACACCGACCCGACCCACCAGACCGAATGTCCGGCGACTCCGTGAACACTCACGATACCTTGATTTTGTTGACATTGAGAAAGTGGGCTCAGGCCCAAAAGAACCAAGAGCGACCACGTTTCTTCGAGGCCCAATTGGCCCAAATCAAATGCTAAAAACATTTGTTGGAAGACCAAACTCTCAGTAACATGCGACCCAAGTTTCTCTAGTCATCCCTTTTAATTTCCCAAGATAGAGTGCCACGACTACTCCTACTACATGATCGAATCTATGATATCAGTCCCTAATTTAGAGAGGTCCAAAAGGATGTATTGGCAAATATCGAAGAACATTCGAATCGCTCCTTATTAATACTTTCGGTAATCCCGACTATCAAGCGAACTACTTGAGCTATAAAGGGATCCAATGTATTGGACAAATTATAATTTGGTTGCCAATGTTTTTTTCACTGACCTATATATCAATCCAATTACAATGTGTCTAATTTGGTTCTGTCTTTCTTCTTTTCTTGTTTTTTGGGGATGTGACTTTTGGCTGTAGTATTCATTCACTCCTAGCTCGTTTCTTGTACTCAAAATCCCTTGTTGTCCCCACATCAGACCGTTTCAACACTTGGGGAGATCGCTCGGCGGCGGTAGGACGGACTGGTCGGGGCCTTCCCCATCGTCGACGACGAATGCCATCTTGAGTCCCCACGTCGTGTGCACTTCTAGGTGACAATGCATGAACCAAACCCCTGCAAAGAAGAAGAAGAAGAAGGTCATAGCATTAGGTAGATAAAAATGCATGACTGAGCCAAACGAAATCGAACCCTATTCTCTATATGAGTCATGAGTGTATATGATCTTGACGGACATGGATGTTCTACCCTTTGGATCTATCTTGATTAGTATCGCATGTCTCAACCACGATGCACTTGCGCTCCTAATGTTAATTTTTAATCGATCAATTTGTCATTTTACGTACGTCGTAAGAATGAATTAAGAACACTAACACTAATATGTTACCCGATGTATTAAGTAAGCCGGTAATATTCGATATTTTATGACAGCTTCTAAGATCACTTTTCTTTTTTGGTCGAAGCTTATAACATCACTTGATGTACCGATTTAATGGGTCGTTGAACATCTATATACGTATCAAGATTGCGAGATTACCTGGATTATCGGCCCTGAACCTTATGGCGGCCCACCCGCCGGACGGCACTCCGATGGTGTTCCGCTCCACCGGGTCGACGAGGTTGAACTTCCTCGGGTCCTCGAACCGGTCGAAGTTCCCCAGCCCTCTTCCCACCACGAAGAAATTGAACCCGTGGAGGTGGATCGGGTGGTTCTCCGGCGCGATCATCCCCGTGTCCTGCAGGACCAGCTGGACCGTCGAGTTGTACGGGAGCCTGTAAAGCCTCGTCCCGTTCATGGTGTTCACATTCGTCGGCTGCGTCCCCGTGTAGTTGAACTCTATTAACGGCTTCGCGGGGAAGTCGTCCGTGAAGACGCCGGTCGTGTTGTAGTAGTGCGCTGACAGAAGCGCAGTATGGGGCATGACGAAGCTGATGTTGTTGAAGTCGGCCGCGACCCGGAAGCCGCTCGTGCAGGTCGCGCAGGGATTGACCCCGAGACCGATGGTGAAGAACAGGGAGTGGTCGATCTCGAGCGGGACTCGGGCCGGGTAGGTGTTGGTGTTTAGGCTCCTCAGAGAGCCGACGAAGCTCTCGGCCACCCACGTGGCGTTCGGCGGCGGCGTGGCTGTGGGGACCGCTGGGGAAGCCTCCGGCGTGCCAACATAGTGCAGCGTCGCGGTGGCGGTGACGTTGTCAATTCTGATGGGGGAGTCCATGAAGGTGGAGGTGGTGATCAGGTACATGCCGGTGGTGTGGTTGGCCGTGAGGAGGGCGGTGGTGGTTTGGCCCGGGCCGACGACGATGGCGTTGGTGCGTAAAGGCTTGACGTAGGCCGCGTCAACCTCGACCACCGTGAGTTGGTGGCGGGCGATCTTGAAGAAGAGCTCTTCATTGAGCGCAGCGTTAATGATCCGCAGCATGTAAGTCTTGCCTGGTCGAACTGCTAATTTGTATCCACCTGCGCATGATCGAAGCCGGTCAGTTTTCCGCCGTCGGCGGCGACGGACTTTTAATTTTCGTGACCACAACGTTGTCCTTCTTTCTTAGTACCCTGGGGACAATTGGCGACGGGTCCTGGACGGCTGTTGATGGTGTGAGCATCGGAGACATTGGGCGCTCCTCCGGATTTCATGGCCTCGTCGATCACCGCTTCGACGTCTGACTTCCACCATTCAGCTGCCAAATGCAGTAAATCAAGTTCAAATCGTGCGCGTCTTTCGACTCGAATCTTCATCGATCTTCCGAAGTGCTTGGAAAATCTTTATCTTTGTCGCTAAAGACGGATCGAACCGGAAAATCTTTGGGACTCACCTAATACGATCACCTTTTCTTTGTGGGGTGTGGGAAATGGATAGGGAACTCCTAGCCTGGGCAAGATGATCAGGGCGCCGTGCACGGTGGCTCTCAGCCACAGGATGTGGGCGTGCCAGAGGAGCGTGCCCCGTTGGCCGGTGAGGGTGAAGTTGTACGTATAAACTTGTCCCGGCTGAATCGGGCACTGTGTTATGTACGCCGGTCCGTCCGCCCAGCCCGTCCTCAGTTGTCGGACCCCATGCCTATTGCATCAAAATGGATACACAGATTCGTAAAATAGCTTGTTTTAGATCTCTGCAGATTGTCCACCGGAAAACATGAAGTATTTTTCCCCATCTAATTCATATCGATCAAGATATCATTCACTTTCTATAATCACATAGCCTACATCTATTTTCTCGCCCTAACTCGAGAACCCACCTCCGGCGAATTCGGAATCAAATCACCCATCGGGTATTCGATACATAGCTTCGACCAAGCACTGATTTTCCTACCCGAGGTCGATTCCATTAGAAGATCGAGATACTCGAGCTCGACTCGGCTAATCACAATCAATCTATCAGTAAAACTTGAGCCTACCAGTGAATGCTAACGTTGTAGCTGACGTGGTTGACCACCTTCACCAGCACCGTGTCGTCTTCTCGGGCGTAGACAGTTGGACCCGGGAACCGCCCATTGACAGTCACGATGGGCTTCGTGCTGCACAGTCTGTTGGTCCTTTTCGCAACCACCTAAAATTTACCAAAACAGCCAACCGCACGTTATCGAAGTCCTTGGCCAATTTTTGGGATATAAACATTGACATCGGGTACAACAGCGTCGCACGAAAAAACACTCGAGAGAAATCTTCAACCTAATACGACGTGGACTTGTCACTGAAGTGCACTTTTTTTGCCATACGAAGATGTTAATTTTTCTCCTCAAGTAACGTAGCATTTCGTGGCGTGGAATTAACGAACGATTTTTCTTCCTAATTTGCTTTTGAAAAGTCGGATATAAAGCTGACTTGAACCTTTCGATCTCCACATAGGGTTCGAGAATCTGATATAGACATTTGATTTTTTATGCATGTAATTGAGAATCTGACTTGAAGTATTTGGAGAAAGTACGTTTGAATTTCCAATTTATAAGTTTCTAGATAGTAAATATGAGAGAGAGAGAGAGAGAGAGAGAGAGAGAGAGAGAGAGAGAGAGAGAGAGAGAGAGAGAGAGAGAGAGAGAGAGAGAGAGAGAGAGAGAGAGAGAAGCCACATCTTCGTGAGAGCTCCAAAATCATGGGTAAGACTTCATTGCACAAATAGATGAAAACTAACAAAAGTTCCACCAATTATGTTGGACCTATTGCTCAAAATATAATATATAATTCGTATCAGACTCTAACATCCCGACTTTTAGGTCAAACTTTCTAGTATGAAGTCGGAGCTAGATTGCATCTATTCATCAACAAGAGACAATTACTATGATTTTCTTCACGAGTCAATAGATTAATACCACATGTTGAGATCCGTTCTTATAACTGATCACGCACCCAATAGACGTCCGAGTTGTTAATTCTTCGATATGTTTAACAAAGAGGGTGGAAATATAATATAGTTGGCACCAGATCAGTACACGAAAACATGGGTGTGTGTGTGTGTGGCTAATCTGCACGATTCTCACACTTAGCTGTATTTAGCAACTTTTATATCTAATCATTGTTCACTGTCTCAAGCAACGAAACACATATGCAACTTTTAACGTTTATACGTCAACTTGCAACAAAATAATATATAGCACCGCACTTGGAAATTTTCTTTGCTTATCCTTCGCAATCAAAACTAATCAAAGCCATCATGCCATGCAAACCCTAGACAATCATATCCTTGAAAGCGAAATACCAACGCGCTTACTTGTTTTCGTCACGCTTGTACATAAATATTAGCTGTCTGATTTACATTGGATGCCTCAGCAGATTAGTATATAGTATTATTCAGAAGATGATCAGCATGTTGGCCGTTAATCCATCAGTTTCAGCCGGACCACATGCAAGGTTTTCGTGCAAAACTTGTTAGGAGGAAAGACCAAGGGCACAGAGTGAAGAGAGAATGCGATTCTCTACTAAATGAATTGCTCAAAGACAAAAGAAAAAGGTTTGGACATCCCGTGATATTCTAAGAAGAAATAAATAGAAATAAGCTCGCTCATTGATATGATCGAATACACCGGAGAAAATAGTTGCCCGCATGAAAGTTTACAGGCTTCCAGGCCCAACAATCTGGTTATAATGCGTGCATGTGTGCACGTGAGCCAAATTCATGTAAGTATCGTCGAATCCAAAGAGTCGCCTATCGGGCGACCTTATCGCAAGAGACTAGCTAGCTAGCTAGCTATATATGCAGGAAAATGGTTGCTGTCTGAAATAGTGGAGTCTCCTCATGTTTCAGCTCACTTTCAACAGCACCAAAATCCATGAGTACCCCTTTGTGCATTTATTTGGTTCCCTTGTAATTTACAAGTGACAGGGCTTAGAACAGGTTTTTCTGCATTAATGTCTATATTCGTAGTTGAAGAAGAGGAGGAGGAGGAGGAGGACGAAAGATGCATGAAAAAAAATGAAACGCACGGTACTATTCGTGGGTCATGCAGATATAATGATGAAAACAATGAGAAAATTTGCTCACATTGAACTTGTAGTGACGGACCATCCCCTCCACATGCGTCGCTAATAACCAAGCTGCGAGCAACACTCTCATCCATGGCATCATCATCATCTTCATCTCTCTCTCTCTCTCTCTCTATATGTGTGTGTGTGTTAGAGAGAGACACCCTCTTCCTCTTCTTCTTCTTCTTAGAGAGCAGGTTGTGACCGTCAAGCCAAGACTTTATAACCAAGCCCTCGTCCTCTCCTCTGTTGCCATGTCGTTTTTACTCACAATTTGAACCAAAAACAAATATATTATATGCTTGAATATTCGTGATATTCCTTTCCTTCGCATTAGAAGCCAGAACCTTCTTTGGTTCCTTTGACACGTACGACACGAATGAGTTTAGTTGTCCATCAAAACGAGGGCGACCTTTAGGGGGGCAAAAAACACACGAAAGAAGGGAACAAGAAAACAAAAAAGTTAACTGGTCTCCCTCTTTTCCAATTACACTGGTAACTAAGGGTGCGTTTGGCAATGTACCAAACAGTAAAAAATTTTATTCTTTTGTTTCCAGAAACAGTTTGGGAACAGAAATACATTTGGTAAATTTTTTATTTCCGGACACATTTTTGCAAAAATTTGTGCCCAGAAACAGTTTTGGAAGAGAAACAAGAAGCAAAAAAAAGTTGCTTCTTATTTCTCGGCACAATTTTGAGAATCAGTTTTTTTTCTTCTTTTTCTTCTTTTTGTGTTGCTCTTCTTGGGTTGTGGCCGGTCGCCAGCAGCCGGCAACCGGCCACAGCCCAGGGCCGGCGAGGGCGTCACGGCCCTCGCCGGCTGCCGACGGAGGCGAGGGTCCTCCTTGCCGGCGAGGGCGAGGGCTGGACCCTCGCTGCCTGGGCGAGGCGGCTCGCCGTCGGTCATGGCGAGGTCGGCCTCGCCCAGATCGAGCGAGGCCGAGCCTCGCCGTCGCAACCCACGGCGAGGTTGGCTTCACCGTGGGTCGCGACAGCGAGGCTCGGCCTTGCCAGATCTGGGTGAGGCCGAGCCTTGCCGTCCCGACCCACGGCGAGGCTCGGCCTCGCCCGATCTGGGCTAGGCCGACCTCGCCGTGGGTCGCGACGGCGAGGCAGGCGGTCAAGGCGGCGGCCAGGGCTGCGACGCCCTAGCTTGTGGCCGATCGCCGGCGACCGGCCATGGCCAAGGAAGAGAAGGGGTAGAAAGAAAAAAAAAAGAAGAAATATTAAACAATTCAAAATATTATTAAAATATTATTAATAAAAAGAAATTTTGTGTAGTTACCAAACGCATTTCTGTTCTTTTCTATTTCAGGAATAGAAATTTTGGACAGTTACCAAACGCCTTCAAATGCTCAGAAATTATTTCTGGACACAGAATGGTTGTCATGCGCACCCTAAAGCTATTTATGTTGAGCTACATTGACTTGGCAGTGAGGAAACCCTACTTGGGTTGGTCTACCCTTATTGGCTGAAGTACACCCGAACCCCATCTAACTTTTAACCACTCTTCAAACAGTTCTCTTCTTCCCTTTTCCCTACCAGCTCCATGGAACCAGCGTCACTTAGATTTTGCTAGATTTTGTTTCTATTGTTGCACAGTAGAACATGCGATTAGCCAATGGTGTTGTCACTAATTAGGTTGAGATTGAACTCAATCATGACGCCCTTGATTGATATCGCACAAGGACCAAACCGCGACGAGTATCAGAGGGGTTGGATTAAGTATTCGGATGATTGGCAAAGATTTCTTTAGGTGTGAATCGAATCTGAAGCTTACAGTGTCATATTATATGTGTCAATGGAAGATATTAGGGATATATACACTAGAAGTCCTAAAACTTATCACGAAAGTGCACTTGAGTCCTAAAATTTTCAAAAAGTGCAAATAAGTCCTAAAACTTGTCATGAAAGTCCTAAAACTTGTCACAAAAGTGCAAACAAGTCCTAAAACTTTCAAAAAGTACAATCAATGAAAAGACTTGATTGAACCAATTTGACAAGTTTTAGGACTTGTTTGCACTTCGTGACAAGTTTTAGGACTTGTTTACACTTTTTTAAAGTTTTAGGACTCAAGTGCACTTTCGTGATAAGTTTTAGGACTTGTTTGCACTTTTTGAAAGTTTTAGGACTCAATTGCACTTTCGTGATAAGTTTTAGGACTTTGAATGCACTTATCCCAAGATATTAAATTAATTAGTGACTAGCTGGCCGTTTATATGTTTGATATGTGACTCATGACCAAGTGCGAGACCTTAAGTGTTGTCATACTTATAAAATAGTCGACCAATCAGAATCGAAAGTTTAAGTAATAAAGGGAGACCTTTAAGAACCATGAAATCTAAAATTCGTAGAGAAACAACCTTTTTTTTTAGTTAGATGATCGTTTAGTTGGAAAGTTTGTAGAGGGGTGATGATATTAGATATGATTGTCGCTTTTCTTGATGACGAAAAGTCTACTTATAATTCAGAGAATCGCAAAGTCATGAGACATTTTTAAAACCTCACGAATTGGATTCAATATTAGAAGATCAAGATGAGCAATCCAAGTATGACGGCATTCGAATCCATCTCTAATCACCGAGTCGATGCGAGTGATTAAGGTAATGATCATAATTACGGCTTTTTCATGTTTACAAAATCACATACTTGTCACTTTACCCCACGGTAACTGTGCAAGTTAGCTATGTCGACCCTTGTACGATGAACCGAGCTTGGTTAAGTAAAATAGCAGATAGGAAAGAGAGATTAGATATTAGATGTTGACCCAACTCATGTGTAGTTGAGAAGTGCTTGTCATAGATCGTCTGATTTGATTTTTTCTTTTTTTCGATTTACATAGATTGTCTGATTGCACAAGTTGAGTTTGGGGTCAATTTTCATATACAGTAAAAGTATGAGATGAGAATGCGGGGAACAGCTTAGCTCATGCAATTCAGCCTCTAGCATTGGACAACTCCCAACTCCTCCTCTTGGGATTGGTCACAGACTGGCAGCAATTTAAAATAAGGTCCGATTTCTCCATCAGCAACGTAGTGATTTCGAATATTTATCTGGACAAAGAAGGGAGGGACAAGAAAGCCATGACGTGCGGTTTTCCCCTTTTTTCTTCTATGGATATATACGATGAGGGGATGAAAAAGAACCCTCCTGATGCGCCGGGCCCTCCTAGACAAAGGAGGGAGTTGAGGCTAGAGCTTAGGTGAGACGTTATGCTTTTTGCGACTCTAGATTAGACACGTCAAAATGAGTTATAAATCCACATCTTAACCCATATTGATTAGCAATGTTTATCAAATAGGTTTAGAATGATAAAACTCAAAGGTGTTTGTTTAGACCAAAAAATAGTCAAGTCATTGACATGAACAAGCACGTGCTTGATACGTGAGCATGGACATTACTACGCACCTGGTATTGCGTCGACGACCATAGGAGCTGATACACATCGATGATGCATATTTAGTTGTTGACATGTGTCGATGAGCAGTCAGTAGGCATGGGTATGGAGATGGGCGTGAGTACTGATAGGAGAAAGGTAGCATACCATCAAAGAGCTTTAAAAATACGAGAGGCATAAGGATGGTTACTAGCTCGAGACAAAGCGATGGACTAACTGTTGAGTATTCATTCACTCAAGGAACGTCGAAGGACGCATATGAAGTTCAAAATTAAAAAGCAACTGAAACCAAGGAGAAATGAGCGTGCATTTTGGAGGGGACTGTTACTTGAGTAAGAACACAATACAACTGTTCGCTCGTTTCACGACGACGAATACCTTTCACCGAAACTTTGATTTTCGGTTTTTATTAAGATAGGTTCCGTGGCTTGATTTCTAGGAGAGTTGTGGCGAAAAACAGAGTGTAGCACAGGATTATATGGAACGGATAGAAATCGAATGGATTGAAAATGGATCTGAGATCAATAAAGTTCCAAGCTACGTTACAATACTCCTACGAAAGTTGTAAAGGACTTGAAAGTTAACTAAAGTTTCAGGAAGTTGTAAATGCAGTAAGTAAAGGTACAAAGGAAACTAAAGTGCAGATAAGCTTGAGTGTTTTTGCATTGTTGTTCTTAAACCTCCTTCCTCCTTCTTTCTTCTGAGTACTTCTATCTCCCTATATCCTGTAACTGCTTGTCGGTTACTTCTTTGTTTTCAAACTTTGAATCTTGGCGCTTCCAATAACTGCCTTATCTAACCACGTTTTCCAATTTCATTGTCCGCCAAAACTTTATCTCAACCGCTGGGACGACTTCAAATTTGGACAAGTAACTCCCCACGATCTACTCGTGCTCACTATCTCCACTTTTTGCTCATAACTTCCTGCTATCATGATTCACGTGGCTGGACCGTGATTCATCTTTACCGATTTTCTGTAATTTCGGTATATTCCCGAAGTATAGACTTCCCGAATTTCGGGAAAAAGTCAACGTCCCGAGGCATAATGGCTCCATCACTCCTTTTTTTTACAAACTCCCGAACTATGACTTTCCATGTTTCGGTAAATATCCCGATCTTCACCAATTATCGAATTCGGGATATGATGCCATTCACGCTTGCTTCCCAGCATGTTTCCGAATTTTATCCAAACGTATTTCGGAAGATGGCTGATTTCCATTATACACCAGATTCGGCATTAAAGCCGACTCAGAGTCTATGCCGATTCTTATTTTGGTGTCAACAACAACAACCGTGCAAAGGCAGGATCATGGGACGGTTAACACCCCATTTGGAAAAATCAACTTCTTGGGAGCATAATCATAGCATCATGGACACGAAGTTTGCATAAATAGAGGAAATCGACGGAAATGCTCAAAAAAATGCTTCAGAATACAGTTACTACCAAACAATTATAAATACCACCAGCCGTCTACTAGAGGCCCTCCTCATAAATCAAACAAATTTACTATCTTTTCAGCATCTTTATTTTCCTGTACTGCACTTTATTTTCGTAGCTATAGTTTGTCGATTTGCTTCGTCGATTAAATTCTGACGTGTAATTTTTATCCCGGGTGCTGTGTCATTGATTAAATTCTGGCATAGTATCTTTATGTTCTCAAATTGTGTCATCAATTGAATTCCGGCATAGTTTGTTTACATCTAGTTACTTCATCGAGTCTATATCTTCTAG